ATATAGTCTTTAACAATACCAGTCAGCCATAATTTACATATTTATGCCATACATTCTATTGCTAGACTAAGTATGGCATAAAGTGCATTAAGTAGTTGAAAATTAAATATAATTAATGCTTACTATTTATAATATATATTTTTCCCCTTAGACTCCTTGATGAGTTAAGGTAGAAGTGAGACATGGGGTATGGATGGGCTATTTACTACATGCAAATTTCATTTTAAAATGATAGATGGATATTAAAACTCGTGTAATTCTAATCCCATTACTAAATGGGGGATTTTGTGTTTAATTTGTAGAGCATGTGCATTAACAAGAAAGATTTCAATGCCTAGGTTATGTGGTGACTTCAGTAGACACACATAGAAACCAATAATTGTAATGGGGCAGAGGTTGACTACTTATTGAACAAAACACTGTGGCTGTTCTTAGTGATTGTAATAACATACATTTGGTTCAGTCTGAATTATATCTCAGTTTATTTAAAATTTGAAGTTTTGTTTTCATTTTCAGACACCCTTATTTATTTCACTCATCAACTAAAACAAATATGCTGCACTGAAACATTTAAAATATTACTCATGCTGTCATTTGCTTTACATAGTGTTAATTTAGGTCCCCTTCCAGCTCCCGTGTTCCTGTTAAAGTCTTAAGGCCATTAGATTGTTCCATCCTGGTAACCTTTCAGCCACAAAGATGAAAAATGTGCAGAAATTTAGCCACATGAATTTTCATTCCTAGAGTAAATGATTGTTATTACCAAAACGCTTGCTTGGAGTGCGGAGAGGAAACTATTATCAAGACTGGCCAAAGAGGAAAATCAGACCAGATCAATGTGGGTGAAGTGGGGTGGGTGTCACAATTCTCAGATTACTGACTGGAAACTCCTGTTGTCTGGCCTCTGGTTTAAACCCATAAAGGGGCACTGCAATCCACAAAACAGGACTCCCCTATACTAAATTAAGCTAAACAATCTGCCTTCATTTAAAGGGGGGGGAGGGCCCTGGCTCCCACTTCCCAAGTCCTTCTTAGCATAGTCTCAGATTCACCGCCATGGGGCCAGCCAAGACTATTCCACTGTCGGTAGATCAGTAGGCATGGGAATCAGTGAGTGGCCTTTTGAAGGGCAGCTTCCCTGAAGCTTTTCTCTGAGCTACAGTCTACTGTCCCACCCCCCAGAGCCGTCCAGCTGTCTGGAACTTCCTACTTTTAAACCCTTACTCCATCCTTGACATGATGCGGGGGGGGGGGGGAGGCAGGGAAGGAGGAAGAAGGTAGGAGGGAATCAGCCTTGTCCACAGTAGCTCTTTAACCCCTTTGTCACTGATGGGGGTTCATACACTCTGTCACGATGGAAGAAAGTAAAAAGGGGTCAATGTAAGAATGAGAGAAAGCAAGAGGTAGCAAAGTTGTGAATATTAGAGAAGAATATGAGTGGAGGGAACAAGGTTAGAAGTTGAGGGGGAAAACATGATGAAATACAGAAGTTGAACAGTGTTGAGGAAGAGGGAAACCTAAATGTGTGTAAAAACAATGAGGAGTCCTTGTGGTACCTTAGAGACTAACAAATTTAGTGTTGGTCTCTAAGGTGCCACAAGGACTTCTTGTTGTTTTTGATGATACAGACTAACGTGGCTACCCTTATGAAACCTAAATGTGTCTGATGCTTCCCAGGATTGTGAAGCATCTTCCTACCACCTCCCCGATTTGTCTGCATATGTCAGAGATCAGATTCCTAACTCCACCAACCACAGGCAACACAAGTATTCTCCACTCAGCATATGAAGGCTCTGCCATCCCTTTGCAGGTTAGCAATAGATACAGTCCACCCCTGAGTGCTCCAGGCCTCCCCCTGGAGTCCCCAGCCACTGATCCACTGGACATTCACAGAATTCCCATACCTTATGCTCCCAAAAGAACAGTACACCCCAGCTTTTACTGTTACACCCTCGATCACTGCTCCACTTAAAGCACAGCACTTAGATTTGTTTATAGCAAAAACAAGAGTACGTTTATTGAACAAAGCTTAGACATTCTAGTGATAGCAAGTAGAAATATTGGAAACCAACAGAAATACTGGAAACCAAAATAGAAATATTTGCTTACCCAAAGTCGTCCTTACAGCATTTTCCCACCAACATTGCTGAGACCCTCCTTTCATATGCCCAAGCCCACTGGCTGCTTGTCTCCCCAGATGAAAGATGCCAGGGTGTGTCTCTGCACCCTTACATGTATTACACCAGTCCTTTATTCTTCACTTTCCTCTCCCCCATTGTTCATCCCTTCCTGTTAATTTCTTCTCCTGAAGTCTCGGCAATATGTTCATTAGCAATTGACTAAGTATGCAAATAGACTTCCATTGTAAGACACACAGTACACTGTGGCCAGCCAGTACCTCCTGTCTGGTGGAACCTGCATGTAAATATCAGATACAGGGAGTCCCTGTGTCCTCTGCCAGTTGACACAAGAAGTCTTTGAGTCACAATGGGACTAAATCTAATTACATTTTTGGGCCAAACAACCTACTCACTTTGATTTCTAGAATAAATGCTATTGCAATCCTTATTTTTGATTCTGTATAGCCTCACAGATGGCTGGACCCAACTGATTTGGGGTAATTGCCCTTGAGTTGGCATTCTTCCCCAGCAATTGCTCTGGGGATCAATTTTTAACTATAGCTAAGGTCCAGAGGAGGATGCTGTGGAGATCTCCACATCTCCTAGGCACTGTAGCCATGTTCCCTCTGTAGCTTTTCAGTTGGCTGCCTCCAGGCTCTATCGAAGACTGGGGCAAAGCAAGTGCCCATAGCCTGGTTTCTAGTGGCTTCCAATGACAGAAAACTGAGAATGACTAAAGTGCTGGATGTGACTTAGTGTGATGGAATGTGGCTTATTCAGGGGAGAAAGGCATAACAAGAAGCAATGGCTGGAAGATAAAGCCAGACAAATTGAAATTAGAAGTATGGCACCATTTTTTTTTTAACAGTGAGGGTGATTGGAACAAGCTACCAAGGGAAATAGTGTGTTCTCCATGTTTTGATTTCTTCAGATTAAGACTGGATGTCTTTCCGAAAGAGATGCTTTAGTCAAACACAAGTTATTAGGTTCAGTGCTATAATGAAGGTCAGACTAGATGATCTAAGGGTCTATAACTGGTCTTAAGTATCAGGGGATTAGTCTGTATCCACAAAAACAAGGAGTCCAGTGGCACCTTAAAGACTAACAGATTTATTTGGGCATAAACTTTCGTGGTTTTTTTTTTTTAAAATGACTCCTTGTTGTTCTTCTGGTCTTAAAAATCTATTAAATCTAGCATACTATGGATCCTGTAAAAATAATCCTTCTTTAGGATTATCACTTATGTCTTGCTCTCCATTATTTATTCTACATTTATGTTAGAGGTCCGTCATGTTTTTTTTTCCTTATCAAGCAGAGCCATGCTACACACATGATACAACTATATATGTATGCAGTGTTTGTTGTAGCCTTGTTGGTCCCAGAATATTAGAGAGACAAGGTGGGTGAGGTAAAGTATTTTATTGGACAAACTATATGTGTGCAGATAGCTGCTCCTCATTATCATAGTGAAAAAATTCACTGAACCCACAACAACTTTGTTTGAGCTCTGACTTCAGTGGGGCACAATATAATACGTACTGCAGTTGCTTTTACATAGTCAACGTTTGTCAACTGTTACCACAGATATCTTCTATTCTACGTTTAAAGGGAAAACTCTGATATTTCAGATACCACTCGTTGGCAATTGTTGCCTGGACAACACTGTTTTTTAATGGTGACTCGTCTACATGTACATTTTTAAAAAAAATGGCCATTTTTTGGCCATTTTTTCTTGACCTGACGTGTTCAGATGGTATGTCAGAGATCTGCATGCACAACTATTTTACAGTCAATTTTAATTTTTGATATATTATTCTGCATTTTTGATCCAACTGTATAGTTACTTAAAATCAGCATTAAAAATGAACAAATTAACAAAAATTTCAAGCACATAAAACTTGCAGCAAATTAAAGGCTGGATCCACTTCCTATTTAAGTTATTGGAAAAACTTCTATGGTCTTTGGACTTATTTCTGCATTTTGGTATACAGATTGGGTCCCAGGAGTATCATCTATGCTATATGGAGCAAAAGGGTGAAAAATAGTGAACTGAGGCTATTTAATTTTGAGACTCAAGATATTTCAGTTTTGTTCCTGGCAAAAACAATTTTACCCTATATCAAGTCTCTCAGCTTCTGTAGCACTGGAATTATTTGCATGTTTTTAAAATAGTTTCTCATAGCACTTCAGTGCCAAGTTAGTAAATACTAGGAATAAGTTATTAGTTAAAACAAATAAATTGTTTTTCACCTCTTCTGTTTATATTTTGCACAGTTATTACATCCATAATATTTTATTAACAAATATAAATAAAGAAAAGGATATACATGGAATTTTACAAATAGAAATTTAATTACTTTGAAATTTAAGTTACTTTTCTTAAGGAAGTCTTCAATAGTCTGGAGTCTCTAAAACCACGTTTTGTTCCTTCACAGTAAGAGCTTATCTACATGTTTTTTTTAAAATCTGTTAGTCTTTAAGGTGCCACCAGACTCCTTGTTGTTTTTGTAGATACAGACTAACACGGCTACCCCCTGATGTCTACATGTGGACATTTACCAGCATAACTATATACGGGTAGCCGGGTTAGATTTGTATGCAAATGAGGCTGCCGCGAACACTCCTGCAGGCCCCCGGACATTTTCCTCGCACACCAGCCCTGTGGCACAGCTAGGAGGACGGATAACATAATTGCACGAGCCCTTTTTTCTGTTGCTTTTGCACGCCCCCAGCTCGAGCGCTGGGGGTGTCGTTCTCCCGCCTCAACCACAGGTGGCGCTGCTCCACACACGCAGCTTCCTCCCACCCTAAACGCCGCTGTGAACGCTGGGTTGTAGGTTGGCCGGGAGTGATCCCAGACCGGAAGCGGCGCTCTCTCCTCTTCCACCCTAGTCTCTGTGTTTCTTTGTCCGCCAGGCTCCCCGGTGCCGCTTGGTTGCTAGGCGGAAGTAGAGTGGCGGAGGCAGCGGTTTGGTTTAAAGAGCGTCTGAGGCGGCAAAGGGTTGCGGGTGGCGGCACCGCGAGCGGAGCTGGGCGTGGCGGCTCCCGCTCTCCGGCGGCGGCTTTCTGCTCTGTCCTCGTAGAGGTTGAGACGCTGCATGTGGGGACCCCCCGCCAGGGCCCGAGACTCCCCTCCCCGTAACCCCGGGCTCAGCCCGGACTGGAACACCGCTCGTCCCGCCTCAGATTCCGCCCCCTCGCAGGGCCAGGGACCCCCCAGGCTGCCAGCCTTAGCCCGCATCCCCGATTTCACATACAGCCCCAAAGCAGAAATGGTCTCCAAATCCGACCAGCTTCTGATCGTTGTCTCCATTCTGGAAGGTAAAGTATTGAATCCGACGCCGTTCTCTGAGCCCAGCGCTGGCTCTTGCTCCGTGCACGTTTGTCTCCTGGCATTAACATCTTTGCACTCTTTCATTTCCCCTTTCTGTTTGTTTTTGGACTGTGTAAATTTTGCTAAAATACCACGATGATGGATTTAGTAATCCTTGTAATAACATGCCAGGATGTGGGACTGAATTACCGTTAAATAATGTATATGGTCTTGCCTTACAACGGATGTATTTTTTTGTCTGATTTTTCTCTTTATTGCCAACAGCAGAGTACTTCATAAAGAATATACAAGAATAGTTTGAGAACTGAAGTTACGTTACTCCTTAAAGGCACAGTCTCCATCTAAGGCCTGGTCTACACTAGGAGGGGATAGATCTTAGTTAGGCAACTTCAGCTATGTGAATAACGTACTTAGACCTACTCACCGTGGTGTCTTCACTGCGGTGAATCGATTGCTGCTGCTCCCCCATTGACTCCACCTGCGCTTCTTGTGGCAGTGGAGTACAGAAGTTGATGGGAGAGCGCTTTGGGATTGATTTATTGTGTCTAGACTAGATGTGATAAATCGACTCCCGCTGGATCAATCGCTGCCTGCCAATCCATAACGGTTAATAAAATCAGAATTACTTAAAATCTAAATGAATGAGCAAACTTTCATTAGTTTTGTTGAAAGCTCTGTGGACCAAATTCAGCTCTGATTTAAATGGGCATGTTTCTCAGTGCAACTGACTAACGTTAATGGCAAAGGTGAAGTAGGGCCTATATGTCTTAAGGGTCTCCTAGCCGCTACCTTCCACTGGGAAGGTGAAGCAGGTGTTGGGGTAACAACTGTGCAGTGTTTAAGAACTTCCCCCCTTTTTCTGCTTGCTTGTCCTGATGTTGTATCTAATTCAGGGTACATGCAAATAACAGGGTACTCCTTCAAAGGGTACGTCTACACTTACCGGAGGGTCCAGCGGCAGGCAATCGATGTTCTGGGATCGATCCCGGAAGTGCTCGCCGTCGACGCCGGTACTCCAGTTCGGCGAGAGGAGTACGCGGTATCGACGGGGGAGCCTGCCTGCCACGTCTGGACCCGCGGTAAGTTCGGACTAAGGTACTTCGAATTCAGCTACGTTATTAACGTAGCTGAATTTGCGTACCTTAGTCCGAAGTGGGGGCTTAGTGGGGACCAGGCCTAAGGTATCGGAGAGTAGAAATATTAAACTTTTGCTTGTCTCATTTGTTTTATGGTGGTGCTTTCTTTTTCTCCAATTTTAAATGGCAGAAAATATTGAAAGAAAACATTCATTCATGTAACACCATGAAATTAGATGGTGTAAAAATCAATTCCAGGGTGTTAGATTAATCCCTGATTCTGGTTTACTTGAGGGAAAGTGAGTTTTCGGCTATGTATAAGTTAGAATTGAAACAATAAAAGGGAAACAACATTTTCACTGTTGTAGTTGCTGTTTGTATGATTACTTTAATAGAAATTGGGTGAGGAGGAATTAATTTTCGGTGTTTTTAGAACATTTGATGGCAGTTTGTGTATGATCAGTTTAACGGTTTTGTTTGCACAGTGCTTTCACATATAAATAAACAGGGAACAGAGAAGAGGACTTTAAAAAAAAGGGGGGGTGGGGGTGGGAAGGGGAGAGAAACCCAAACAGGGTCACTGCAAAGTTTTGTGTATTTTACAGATGTAACTCAAAGACAGGTATAATTCCTGAAACTCTTGATATACTCATGACACTCAACTTTAAAAAAAGCTGAGTAGAGTTTGTATGTTCCTTTATTTGCCATATCCTAATGATCTATATCTTAATTTTTTTAACAAAATCATAATCAAATAAGGTTTGATACCTGGACTGACCAAACCCTGTAGAAATGCAATTTATTTAAAATATAAAGACAAAAGCTAAAATATAAACGAACAAACGGAGCTGCCAGTTTTAGGTGTTGTAATAAATTCCGTGCAGGCCTCATTACAGCTTTGGACTCATGTTCCTTACAGGTGTATCCATTCCTCATTTCTCTACACAAAATGTCTTTACTCAGGAGAGAGCTTTCTTCTGAAAATCGTGTCAGTTTGGACATACACTTTGTAAATGTAATTTACAGCCTTCTGTTAACTTTCAGAAATTTTGGTAGGGGGGGAAACGATGGTTAAATAAATATCTTGGGCTTTTTTATGCTTCAGTTGCAGATTGTCCTAAATTAATGTTACTCTGCTGTATCTGAAAATATCTGATTATTTCTGTATTATCAGGCACTTCAATGTGTCTTTCTGTGTTTTCAGCATTAGATTCTCAGTGAGTGACTTTGGGAAGATCTTTTTCCAGGAATTGTTCTAAATTTTATTTGTAAAGTGCCCAGCACTACAGTATATAATTGAAAAGAACTTTTCCCATAGTCTGTTAAAAATTTTTTGAGACATAACTATAGTAAATACAAAATACATGTTGATTTATATTCACAGTCATAAGGAGAAAAACTCTGTCTTGTTTCTTTAAAATGAGAAATCCATTAGGCCAGAAGAGTAGTGATTCAGACTGCTTTCTTATCTCTCTTGTCTCAGGAGTCATGCTATGTAGTAACTAACTAGGAGAGGCATGCTGGTTTAAATTTTCAAAAAAAGATGATTGGTGGTACCCAATTTAGTTTACCTTAAGGAAGCATACTTTTCATAAAGTACTGAACGCCAACCTCTTTAAAAGTTCCACGTAGTACTTTCAAAATAACTTGTCACATTTGAAAATGTAGGCTACTTTTTATGAAGTGTTGAGAATTTTAGGATGTAAATAAATATTTGCAGTCTTAATAATGTTCCTTCTCCAGGTATATATTAAAATTTGGTAAGACTGATTACTCTTTATGGACCAGTAGTTTTCAAAATTCAGCTTATACTTACTTTAGGGGGTGGTTCTACATTTTTAAATTCCAATAATACAACTCAAACATTTTTAGAGGTAATGCTCCTGGGCTGAAAACTTGTATACTAAATTCAGATAGATGCTAGTCAAATCCCTAAATGAAGTATTGTGAAAATTTTGGGGGGCAAATTGCACAATGTTTATCTGGCTGAGTGTTTTTAATACCCTGCTGTTATGAGCACCCAAATCACAAAATTAACAAACTAACACAAGAGGTATGACTCCATCTTCATTTCCTCTACCCGTTATTGTTTTAAAAAAACAACAACCTCATATCGGGTTAGTGTAAAGCTTAATGGCAGCTTGTAATGAACCACTTACAAATAAATAAAAATCTGCACCAGCAATATTCCTACTATGTATCTGACTGTATTGTCTGTCCAACTTTGATTGCAAGCTCTTTATAGCAGGCAGTGAATTATTCTTGCTTATGACAGTACTAGGACACTGTTAGTGTACAACAAATAATATTAAAATTCAGCTCTGGCTCTTAAGATAAAGTTAGAAAACATGGCATATTATACCCATTTAAACAACCCAATGAACTTCCAGAACTAAAGGAAAAAAATCAAAATATTTTAGTAAGTGCCTGATCCCATACACATGGGAGAGTAAAATTACTCATGTGAGTAGTTCCATTATATTCAATAAAACTACTCACTAGTAAAGTTACTGACATACATGTTTGCAAGATTGGGATCAAATGCATTAAAAGCCAGTTTCTTAATAGAAAATTATTTATAACGTATATTTACTCAGGACACTTTTTTCCCCCCCCTTTTAGGTGTTGAAGTCCACCTTCCACTTCTTTTTAAAATTAAGATGTGGAAAGTATATTAATACATATTAAAACAACTTCAAGAAGAATGATACAGGAAACCTATTTGTACAGTTTGTTTTTTGACAAAAAACAGATTCTTCTGTGTTTTTAGCAGAGATGACTGAAAGTTGTGCCTTTGTATTTTTTCCAGGACGCCATTTTCCCAGGCGTGCAAAGCATATGCTTGTGGTAGAAGCAAAGTTTGATGGTGAACAGCTAGCTACGGATCCTGTGGATCATGCAGACCAGCCAGAGTTTGCCACCGAATTGGCTTGGGAGCTTGATAGGAAAGCACTTCACCAACACAGGTTAAATTATAAAATTGTCAATTTTGTCATTATTTTTATCTTTACAGCCAATGAAAGCTTTGTGTTTGGCTTCTAAAAATTTTAATGACAGTAGTACCAGGGTGGATTTGATTTAAATCATGATGTAAATCACTAGTCAGGAAGACTCGATTTAATCATGGATTTCTACATTAAAGTGCATTCTCCTTGGTTGTTATAACCTTAATGTATATTCTTCAGAACTCAGAGATAAATGTAGGCTTCATTTTTAGAAGGTACACACTATACATTTTTAAGTGATTTATTTTGAAAACTTTTAGGATTAGTTTTACAGCTATATCAGAAAATGAATGATTGTTTGGTTATTTCATTTAAATGAAGCAGATATTTATGAAGTCATTGGGAGGTGAACTATCTCCAATTCAACAGGTTAATCATTAATATTTGGAGGATTTTCTTGCTATGCTGTATTAGGAGGAGAACATCACCAGACAGACATTTAAATAGTTTTATTTAATTAAAACAACGTTATGTATTCTGGATTTTTTTTCTTCAACAGCAAACATATAATATTATAACAAAACAAGCATATGAATTTTTGATTTTAGTTAAACATTCAAGTTTTTTAAAATCAGGTTTGTTTTTGTTAAAATTATTTTAAACTAAAATAGTTAAATGAAATATTAACCCCCCCCCCCCAAATTAATGACTGTCAGTCAGGTCAACATGAGAAACTTAAAATATTGGCTTCTGCAGCTAACTCAGTCGTCTTCACCTTCATTTTCCTGTTTGTTTGTAATCTGGAAAAGAAAAACAAGCTTTCCTGCTTTTTCAGGTCCTAAACGATTTCTCAATTTGGAATGAACTAGTCCAAAGGAAGAAAATACTCTTTCTACACTGGCAGAAGAAGCTACTGCTGTTAAAGTGAGATTATCACTTCAACAGTCTTTGAATCCAAGTGCTTAAGTGATTTCCACCAGTTCACTGGTGTGACTTTCTTTAAAATATCATCAGCAAACATATATTTCTTGAATGGTTCACCCTTAGCTCTGAAGTTGGCATTATGGAGGGATGATTGCTAGATGTCCATGTCTTAGCCAACTTCTCTTCTCCAGTAGTTAAGAAAATGAGCTGGAGATAGTGCTTGTTCCATTTGTTTTTTTTAATGCTTGTAATTTAACACTGTCATTGCATATTTCTTTTTTTAAGATCTCACTCAGTTCCTTCTAAATTTCAACCTTGTCAGCAATAGAACAGTTATTTCCCTGCATTTTATTGAAGGCTAGAGAAATAGGCTTCAGGGTATTCAGCATGTGGTCAACATTTCTCTTAAGCCAGGGGTTCTCAGACTTTTGTACTGGTGATCCCTTTCACACAGCAAGTCTCTGAGTGTGACCCCCTCCCCCCCATACATTAAAAACACTTTTTTTAATATATATTTAACGGCATTATAAATGCTGGAGGCCAAGCAGGGTTTGGGGTGGAGGCTGACAGCTCGCGACCCCCTGAGGGGTCCCGACTACGAGTTTGAGAACCCCCGTCTTAAGCCCAATGTTGAGAACTTTGGCTGTGACAGTGCCATCTATTATTATTTTTTATTTATTTTATTTTTTTTTGGTGATTTTATTCACAAACTGTCATCAGATTAGGCCAGTTCTTGATACAGTGCTCAAAACAGTCCACTACTGAGTTCCATTGCATGTCTTGTGGGAAAGTTAGCTTAGTTCCTCCCACTTTTTTCAGAGCAGCTGCTGCAAAGTGGTTGTTACAGAAGTATTTTTCAATTTTAACGCATTAGCCTTTATTTCCAGAACACTGAAGTCTTTGGCTAGGAGGTGTATCAAATGAGCACTGCAACCGTATGTTGTTAGCTTGGGACTCTCTTCTAAATAATTTCTTCTCATCTTGGATACATTTGCAGCATTGTCTGTGACCAAGCTGCGTACTAGACATTTGAATTTTTTTTCACAGTTTGTTAAAGCTTTTACTACTGCTACTTGTAAGTATTCTGCTGTGTGTGCATTTCCTGATGTATCAATTGTTTCGGTAAGGAAGACATTCCTTTCTTCTGTTGTCACACAAATACATACAACAGGATCATTGTGGACACTGCTTCATCCATCAAGACTCAGGTTAACAATTTCACCCTCTAGACCTTTTGCACACTGCTCAATTTCTCTTTCCTACACTTTATCCAGCAATTTGCCTGCAACATCTGCTCTGTTGGGTGGACTATATTCTGGTCTTAATGACTGAACCATGTTAATGAAGTGTGGGTTCTCAATCATACGGAAAGGATAGTTTGTTGCATAAACAAACCGGGCAATTTTTTCATAAATTACCTCTTTTTGTAATATGCTGGTTCTTATCACAAACTTATCTATAGTTGTTTCTGGATGATGGAGATTTTTTTTTCTTTTTGCTACAGGTGATATACTGTGGCTATGTGACATACATGATATGACTGAAACACTATCATTGGCAGCTAATTCTGAAACTATAGAAAGTGATAGTGATTTTGAAGGTGGATAGTCTTCAGAATCCTGTATGTTGAGGATGGAGGTCTCCTAAACAAAATAAGTCAATGCAGTTATTTAATTATCGTTGCCATACTGCTCATTTAGTATTACTCATTGCATTAACTGACACTTAGTACTAATTTAAAGGTAAAATTGTAAAAGGAAGATCTGCCTATTTCAGCTATTTATTTATTTTTTATCACAAATGCATCTAAAATGATAGTACCATAGGGTAACAACTATATTTTTTTTACTCAAACATGAGAATTCAAGAATAGTCCAGATGGAAGACAGGCAGTCCTTAAGAAAGAACTATGAAATAAAAAAGTTTACCAACCTGAAGATCCTGCATGTTCCTTTCATCATCTTCAATGCAGCTTCCTCCTGAGAAGGAAGACTTATGATGTTGTTTCATTCGGGCAACCAGGTCTTACATTTCTTTGTTGCACTGTTTGCATTTTGCATGCATGCCTGTCTTACCCACAGGTAGAGGAACTTAATTAAAATATCCCCAAACTGGGTCTCCTTTACAGCCTGGTGCCATTATAGGTATTCCCTTCTAGTTAGAGAAAGGTATGGTAGATCTCAAATCAATGAAGGCTACACTTAGAAAGATCTCAATGTTATACCAATAGAATAAAAACCAGCAGGATCTTATTAAGAGGGATAAGGCAAAGATGCCACATTTATTGTAAATATACTGATAAAGCAAAAGATAAAAGTAAACAAAGTTGTTTGACTACTTATTTCTTATACACACACACATTCATAGAGAGAGAGAGATTTATTCACACAATTATTCATTCAAGTTCTGTATAGGTGTTATAGTTATACCAGCCTAGAAGTTGCTCATGCCAAGTTACTGGCCAGGTATCTTGGTCGTGAGGATGGAGCCGAGTCTGTGTCAGGTGCACCTGATGCTCCTGGAGGCTGGCAGCAGAACCAGAGACTCAAAGTCATCAGTCTTTAGAGTCCATTCTTATAGAAATTAATTCCTATGTTAGTCTATGGGAACTGTTTCATCCTGCTGTTGCTGACTCAATCAGCAGATGGCACATTCCTGTCCAAAGTGGCACATTCCTGGAGGCTCCACACTGTCCAAAGTTTCTCATCCTTCCAGGTGATGGGGTGGATCCCAGGTTACCCTCAGAGGGTTGTCTGGTGGTCCTACTCGACACATTCTTCGGCCGATGGATACTCCTTTTCTAGGCTGGCACCTCCCTAACCATTCATGTATATCAGGCATTCATTAGCATACATTTCATATTTTAACCATATTTTAATTTACTGTCTTTACCACTTTCAGGGTGTGTACTAATTTATTTGAGACTCCCGGCCCTTTAATCACAGAGGGTGGGGGTCTGTCTTAGGAGCCATTGAATGAAGTGAAAGTCACTTAGCGGCTTATAGTGTTTGTTTGCATTGTATCAATTACTTCAAGAACAAAGTCAGTTAACTTGTTTGTAAGTTTTACATAGTAGTAAAGTATCTTTCACAGGACAGATACAATCAATGGTTTCTACAGACAGTAGCTTACAAGTTTTAACAGAAGACCCAAAAGATTTTTGTACTTGGTGAAACTGTTGGATTTTAAAGTGTGGGGGACAAATTATGAGGAGGTCACTGTCACTTGGGGGAATCACTGTTAGTACCTTCTTTAATATCCCTACATAATCCCCCTTTTAACACTACGATATTTATATAATCGTTAGTTTTACTTTCTTTTTAACCTGTTTAAGAGAACGTACAGTGAGGCAACATGTGTTTGTGATTCCAATTTAGCGTACATTGTTTTTATATGAAAACACATGCCACACATACCAATTATACAAATACAATTTAATATGCTGCTCAGACAGTTTCGCTTTTGTTTCTATTGCCTGTCCCTCCCTTCTCACATTTATCTCCAGACTTCTTCTCCTTGTCCAGACCTATTCTGCCCCCAACAATCTTCTATTCATTGAACTTTTTGGAACTTTGCACTTTTAGAGAGAGGTAAGGGATTGACTCTGTGTATACAAATTTGCAGAGGGACAATAGTGTTGAGGTCTGTTATTTCACACCTCTATATATTATTTATTTATTTAAAAATATTTTTGCTATCTCTGGAGACACAAATCCAGTTTCAGAACTGTAAAACTAAGCATCTTTGATAGTGCTCAGTCTAGAAGATAACGAGTCCGTTGGGTAGATAGAAAGATCAGCTTAAATAATCTTCACAGAAGCCCCTGGAACCCCGTAAGATTGGGTCCCTAATCCATGAACTATTGGAACTCATTTACAAAACTTTTCTTAAATATTAATTACATTACATATTGTCTCATACTATAAAATTAGAATTTGTAATCCCTGTTCCATGCTGAGATATATTGTAGCTCAAAGATATCTTAATTAAAACTATCTTTAGATAGGTTTTTTCCTCAAAAAGCATTTTATATATATAAAAAAACAATTTAAATAAAATCCTAGTTTTTATTTTTAAAAAATCAATGATTTTTATCCACCCTGAGTAGTACAATCTGCTATGTATAATTACAGTATATATTGAAAGTTTTCCACCATGGCATTGCTGCCACAGCACAAATGATAGCATGAGTGACATTGAAGGAGTCTAAAACTCATACATAAGATTTTTTTTTTTAAACTAAAACTCATAGCAGAAGAGCATTAAGCTACAATACATACAGTGGACTCAAATTATCCTGTATACACTGGAATATATTACTAGAAAACGTAATCCTATACCATATTAAATGCAAAAAAAACCTGTTACAGTTCTGAGTTATAGTTTCTGCAGCAATGTCACTTAGCCTACTTGAGCATATATAATATTGTATGTGGCGTCAATTTTATGCCTTAATATTAATGCTCAATGTAACAGACTCACCACACTTAGCTACTTTGCATTTTCAGAAGTGGTACCACCAGCATCAGAGAAATTTTTTCACACTTGCCACTGACAAGTGCATGAGCATCTCTGCCCAAATATATTGATAATGCACAAACCACTAGGGGGCATTATCTGTGCAGCCGTAGCCATCTTTATTTTGATGGTTGTATATGGGGGAATAATTTCAAATGTTTTGAAGCCACTGTTTTTAATGGTGTAGTTAAACTTACATTCTGAAGACACACAGTACTTGACAATAACCAACAGACGTAACCAAGTATTTAACTCAACAGTCTGTTTTACGTATTTATACCTTTTTAACCACTGAATTAATACTGAGGTGAAATTCCAATTGTAATGAGTGGTGCTGCTTATTTTGTGTGTCAGTTTAATACTATACGTCCAACTGTTAGCATAAGATTTAAAAATAAGTGGTGTTACATGTCTGAGAGTAGAATCTGAACCCGCCTCTTTCTGGTGAGGAACAGGTTTATATAATACCACTATATCTTTTCCATGATTGCTTGGGCTCTAGGAGGGTCTAGTGATCAAATTTTTTTTTTAAGTGGGTTTATCTACCTCCTTATCATTTATAACAGTGTTAGATTGTAGAAGTTTAACAGTACATTCAGTTTGTACCGTAATTTGATGTAAACCAGTTAAAAAATTGCTATATTTTCACATTTATTTTATACTGTCATCTTTCCGTGCTGTGACATTTTTCATCAGTTAAGTCTGATTACAAGGATTGTTGGCACAAATTGGATTTCATTGTGGTATTCTTCCAGGCTACAGCGTACACCTATCAAACTCCAGTGTTTTGCTTTGGATCCTGTATCTTCAACTAAGGAGAATATAGGCTATATTGTACTCGATTTAAGAGCTGCTCAAGAAAAGAAACAGGTATGTTATTTGTTATGAAGAGATGTTAATAACTGACAGTTTGACAGTACTTATTACATTTTCTATTTTTGTAGGTACTGAAGTAGTTCTTGAAAGGAATTTGCAGAGCTCTCAAATCCTATTTTGAAGGAATGTTGGCTCATCAGAGCATGTAGTTCAAAACCTTTTGAAAAGAGATTTTAATAGCATGTGTGAAGAACAAATACAAATATTTTGTATACGTTTTATTAACATGATGAAATGTAAAATGCATCTGACTCTTAAATTGGTCATTGGAGATTACTGTGATATTGCCAAGTTAAACATGTGTGAAGGTTCTTTTGCCTTCCTGAATTTTAAAGTTTTGAGTATTGCAATATTAACATTGATGTATTTGTATTTCATAAGAAATAATTCTCTGTAAACTGTGTCTAATAATCAGACTAGTATTGGATTTTTATTTTTTGTCTGTGATTGAGTAGTTGGTTCTTATTTGCTGAAACAACCATTTCCATTCTTAAAAAAAAAAAGCCTTCAGATTATGACAATGAAATAATACACAGAAAAACACTCAAAGAATGATTAAAATGAGTGAGACTGAGAGCTGAATCTGTTTAGTTTATCAAAATCATGATTGAAAGGTTACTTGATTACAATGTTTAAGTACCTTCTCAGGGAGAAAATAGTGGGTACTAAAGGACAAATGTGCAACAAGAACCAATGGCTGGAAGCTGAAGCCAGTAAGTTTTAACTAGAAATAAGGTAGACAAGGTGGGTGATATCTTTTGTTGGCCCAACTTATGTTGCTGAGAGAGACAGCTTCAGGGTTGCTTTGAAGAGCTCTGTAGAAGCATGTCTCTCTCAGCAACAGAAGTTGATCCAACAAAAGATATTATGTCACTCACCTGGTCTTTACTATCCTGGGACCAATACAATAACACTGACAGAAATAAGTACATTTTTAACAGTGTGGAACTGGTACAAACTACCAAGGGAAGTAGCAGATTCTCCATCTCTTGATATCTTCAAATCAGTCCTGGATGTATTTTTGGAAACTATGCTTTAGCCAAATGTTAAATATAGTGCTCAATACAATGAAATGTTAATGCCATCTACAGGAGATCAGGCTAGATGATCTAATGGTCCTTACTGGTCTTAAACTCTGTGTATAAACTACACCATGGCTGGTCATATGATAGCTTGGATTCCCTAGAGCCATAGGTTCCCATTTTAGCAAGGTTGAGAAAGCTTGTGTTTCATACAATTTTACCAGGTGAGGGTCTGTCAGATGAGATCTTAGAAAAACAAGATTTTTCTCTATTCTGATTAAAGATTCTATGGTGGTTTTAGCCTGTTATCTTGTTGAATATGCCCAGGCATTGGAAGGAATATATGCAGTTTTTTCCTCTAGGAGTCTAGCCTAAAATATGGACAGCTAATATGGCTTCAAATATGTCAGTCTGTGTCTTGATTCAGTTTTTCAGTTATGTTAAGCTAATTGGATTGAAAAAACACACCCTCTTTGTGTATCCAGACAGGGCTTATGAGTCTCACAAAACACCTGTGAGTTAGGGTGCAATCTATTATACAGATAGGTAAACTGTTATACAAAGAGAGATAATGATTTGCACAAGGTTATGCAGGGAACTAGGGCAAAACTGGGAATAGACTTCAGATAGCTTGACTTCTGCTCCCTCTGCTGCAGTCATTAAGCCACAGTTGCCTACCTCAGAGGAGAAAGAGGGACAGAGATAAAAAAATGTTAAAAAGGAAAAATAAAGCAAAAGGCTGGTGTATGGCAGTTTTTAAAGAGCTATTTTTTTAGGTGAATGGCAGGCACTTTTGAGTAAACCTTGCTCAGGGATGCCTGGGATGGGGCATGTGCAAAAGGGGCAGTTTACCCCCGGCTCCCGCTTGAGAGGGCTCCCAAACCAGTGGAATTTGAACACATAGCATTGTGACCTGGCCCACAGGGTCACAGTGCCACTTTGATTTGGCCCGGCCACTCCTCTGTCATGATGGAAAGGTCATTGGGCCAAATTTGAGTGCGCAGTGATCCCATGTGCCAGGTCACAATGCCTGGAGCAGAGAACCATGCCCAGCTTTGTGGGACAGGAGGTGCCTCTGCAGCGTGAGTGTGGGGCAAGCTCGCTGTCTGCCTCCTCTTCTCCCTGCCACCCTCCCCCAGGTCTCAGGTGCGGAGGGAGAAGTTCAGTTTCAGATTTTGCCATGGGGTCCCGTAAACCTCTGTGATCTTGCTTTAATTTGTTTTTTGCTCCATCTTAGGCTGCTTCTCATGCACTTCCAAAGGCTATCAAGGCATTGTTGTTAGAGGTCTTGACTGCTAAGCAGAAAGGTTTGGTCCACATCAATCTACCTAAGAAATTTGGTATAACAAAACCAAAGCTATTACGGTAGAACGTAACAGAGAATCAGTCTGATATTTTGAAAATAAACACTGAAGCACATCTTAACTCTCCTACAGCCTAACTGCCAAAAGATGAATTTCATCCTGTAACCACATTATATGCCTTTGCCATTCTCTTCTTTCTTATTTTTGGAACATACTTTATCCACTTTTTTTTTTTTTTTTAAATTCTGCAGGCACCAAAATGGTATCCTTTGCTCAGCAACAAATATACTAAATTTAAATCTGAGATACAGATAAGTATAGTGTTGGAAACTGATACAAAAGCACCAGTGGATGGCTTTAAAGCAAAAGAAGCACCTCCGAGAGAAGGGAAAGGTTAGTAGCATAATCCAAATTTAATTACATTTTATTCAGAAAAGTTTTGTTTCATGTGCCTGAAGAACATATAGTTTATTGCAAATGATTGTTTTGGGACACAAGTGCATTTTACTTTAATAGCATTTTTATATAAAATATTTACAACCTATTACATTTATATATACTATAATACACTATAAGCACTGAGTGCAATGGTTATTTTATAATGGCTCTCCAATCATATCAGGATCCAATAAAGTGTGTGTGCTTGTTTGCTTATTTTAATAGGAGGGGTGTGAGGTTTGTGTCATTGAAAAACAAACAAGCTGCTTATTTCCTTGACAGAATGTAGTTTTGATAGCTTGTACTTAAGATCATAAAGTATTGAAATCAAGTAGTCCAGAAAAGAGGCAGTAGAAAACATGGGTAAGAGTTGATCAGGGCATGCAGGAAAATAAAATGCGGATACAGGGATGGATTTTAAAGCAGAAGGTGCAAACTTTATTAATGTTTAGTTTAAGATGGGAGAGAGCTGGTGCTCTCCTGCTCCCAAACCAGCGTTACACACAGACCCCTTGGCAAAGGATCCTTTTTCTTTGTAAATATTTCTTGCACCAAATCTGATAAACTCACTATCTATCGAGAGTAACATGTAAAGTGTCATAACCATTGTGAAATATATTTATGGGTAATGTTTAAGGAATAATATACTGAAAGTATGCTTGATGGATTTGGAGTAGAAATTTGTCACAAGGAAACAGTGTCTTGGTGATGGCCCATATGGGCAAGGGGGAGTTGTCACTCTGCCTTGATTGGCCAGTGATGCAGTAGAAGGGCTAGATTGTTTAGCCCTGCATAATACGAAGGCTATATCTACAATACAGCGCTTTTAGTGATATGGCTGAGTCACCACAGCCGTGCCACTAAAAGTAGCGCAGCGTAGCCCCTGTTTGTCGGCTCTCCTGCTGACAAAAAACTTCTGCCCCCAATGAGCGGTGTTCACGTTGTTGGCAGGAGAACACTCCTGCCAACAACACGCTGTTCACACTGGCACTTGTTGCAGCAAAATGTTTGCCTTTCAGGATTTTTTTGTTTTTGTTTTTTTAACACCTCTGAAAGACAAAAATTTTGTCTTTCAATTGCCAGTGTAGACATAGCCTAAGACTTTTGAATGGGAAACCAGCAGAGGCAACAAGAAACAATCAAAACCACTTAGAGGTAAAAAAAGAAACTTTACAGCTAAGCAGGGTTTCGCCCTATCTGTGAATAGAAACCAAAAACTCTTTTCAGTATAATATTGTATGGGGAAGGACACTCTGCATCCATTCACTGAGGAAACCCCTTATGAATGTTTGGATCCTGGTTCTAGAGAAACCAGCCAGTTCTGCAACAGACTGAATTTTGGCGGGAGGGGAGGAAAATCGACTTTCTTAGATTAGAAGGGTAACTGTTGATAAGTGTAGACCCAGGTTCATGCTTTTTTTTTTTTTAATTTTGTTAACCATTTTTTTTCACCACTTTTTTTTTCTTTTATTTCTAGTTCAATCTTTATTGTTTTTGAAAACTACTCTTGTTTTATTATGTGGGAGGAAAAACGAGTCCTCACTCTGAGTTTGAAGCAACAAGCCAGAGGCAGCTTTATTTTTGAGCAATTGCAAATGCATGGGAGAGTACTCACAGGCAGGGGTTCCCCTCCCGAGGCAGGTCTTCGTTAGGTAAACAGTTAGGCAAGCTTTTATACCTTTCATTACATACAATAATGAGCAACAAATGTATTTTGTTATACATTTTCTTTCTGATATCTCACTTTTTTTCTCATTAATTTCTGCCAGAGTCTACATTCCATTCTTATCTAACACAAGGTCAAAACAGTATCTCTTACAGTCTGTTCTCATTCGCTTTCTACTCACCTAGGCCTTCAAGTCTTGTGTTATTAGAGTCAGTGTTAGCCTGACTTTGTTAGCTTGACTCTTGCTCTATTCCTAGAGACTAAGATCTCTATGTTCAAATTCCCTTTATCCACTTCCACAATTTAAGTGCTCACAAGCTCCTTGTGATTTACAGGAGCAGTGTTTAAGATAAAACTGGGGTGCATCTTTGGGTGCAGAGGATCTGGGATTTCTGTAAGTACCCAAGGGCTGGATATCACAAGGGAATGATTCAGAGGGACTCAGGAATTGGGGTACACCTATTGTTTAACCTGCAAGGTGAAGCTAGGGCTGGCATAGTCCAGACCAGAGTGCTTGAGTGGCTGAAAGGATGGTGGTGTTAGGGAGCTGACCCCCAGCTACCACATGAAAGTCTCCCTCTTCTGGAAGCAGGGGTAACAAGGTGACTGTCAATCCTGGGTGCCCTGAGAACTGTCACAACAAGACAGTTCAATGCTGTGTTAAATGGCATCATGTTAAATAACCTATATTCAGGGTTGGCTCCCTTCAGCCTAATTCACGCCTTTAAATTTTCACCCTTCCCTGGAAGGAGGAATGAGGGCATATGTGAAAGGTTTACGAAGTTTGTGAAGACTCAAGGTCTTCCCTGTTTCCAGCAGGCTAATAGGCACCACCAGGTATCTCCTAGGTCTCGAGTCTACTCAAATTTGTCTCTGGGATATTGAGTTCTCACCCACAAATTGTGACAAATTATGAGCTTTACTTAAGATGAAAACTTCATCTTTTAATTCTTCACTCCTTATTAACTTAAAATCAGGCCTCCATGATGATGTGAGGAAGGTGGAAAAACTATTAGACATCCTGCTCTTATTGCCCCAAAGGAAAATTTTCTTCCTGACCCCCCAAAACAGTGATCTGATCAGATTCCAAATCTGAGAAACACCAGACAAACTGGGAGGGTGGGGTAGTAACCTCAGCAGAATGGCTGCTGCTTGTCCTTGAGATCTTCAAATATAACAATGCACAATGAAAGAATCATTTCTCTTTTCCCTCAAAGCCAGCTGGGCAGCAAGGAGAGATGGGGAAACCCATTTTATTCCTCTTCCCCACACCTCCTTGTCCAGGCATGACCTCCACTTGTGTTCTGGGTGGAGGCACTGGGAAAGATTGTGTAAGAGAAGGGCCCTGTCCTTCTCACTCCTCTCAAGACTACAGTGGGATGACAGGCTACAGATCTAAAGAGGAACTGTGGTGCAGAAGGAGAACCTGGAGTGGCTGGGCAAGGAGACTCCTACAAAGAGGAAGGAGGGAAGTGGGCAATGGATGTCAATGAAGATGGCGAATATAGTGGGGGGAGGGGGAGGGACAACTGGAGGCTGTATATGTAGGTGGGGTGAGACTAAGGTTTGCTTGGAGAAGAAGACTAGAATTCCAATGAGGAACCTGGAGTGGAGCCAGACTAACTAGGTGAGGGAATGGGAGTGGTCAGGAGGAGCCAGGAACAGGGAGGAGATGGGGCAGAGACAGGGATAATTTGGAGGAGACAGGGCAAAAGGAGTCGTGCCTAGGGTGGGAATGGGCATGTGAGTCAGTGTCTGCTAAAGCACACTTCCCTCCAGAACCTGGGATTCCCAAGTCACTCGAGTCTCTCAATTCCTCTGCTATAAGCAGATGCCTGTGAAACCCACTGGTAAAATGTTCTGGTCCACATAGAAGATGCCAGTCTGATACTGCTATTAGTTATGTTGTTAGCTCAAGCAATCCTTGTCTGTGTGATGGATCTAAAGGTTCCAACTCTGCTAGTGGCCCAGGTGGATATCGGTCTGATGCTCCATGATGTAATTTTGGGGCGGGAGGGTTTCAGTTGTGTGGGGTTTTTTTGTTTGTTTTGATTCTTAAATAAAAAAATAATAACAGATAAAATACACAGATCTGGAGATCTAGAAGGACATAACCATATAAATTCAATTCTCTTCTCTTAAAGTGCCTGCTCTGCTTTGTGGGTTAGATCCTAAAAATATTGTAGCAGTCCTGAATGAGGAAGAAGGCTATCATCAAATTGGACCAGCAGAATATTGCAGAGAATACTTTGTTTTGTCTGTGACTATAGCATTTGCCACACAGTTGGAACAGGTAATGATTATTATTCACCTTTAAGCCCATTATGCCAATAAAACGTTTATAGCAGGGTTCGGCAACCTTTCAGAAGTGGTGTGCCGAGTCTTCATTTATTCACTCTAATTTAAGGTTTTGCGTGCCGGTAATACATTTTAATGTTATTAGAAGGTCTCTTTCTATAAGTCTATAATATATAACTAAACTATTGTTGTATGTAAAGTAAATAAGGTTTTTAGAATGTTTAAGAAGCTTCATTTAAAATTAAATTAAAATGCAGATTTCCCCCCCCCCCCCGCCCCCCGCCCCAGACCAGTGGCCAGGACCCGGGCAGTGTGAGTGCCACTGAAAACACTGGTCTACAATTTTTGAGAAGTCGTCTGCTTCAGAGATAAAATGTGCTATTTATTATGTATTTTGATGTGCTGAAATCAAATATGACAATTAAAACAACTGGCTACTGTTTCTAAGATATTTAAGTTTTTACATTTTATGTTTATGTATATTGTGTAGATAGTCGAGTTTTAATCATAAATTGTAAACCTAGGTCTTTTCATGTGTTTATGGTTGCTTTACATGATGATATTTCACCTGTCCTGTTTATGTAACACTTTAAAAATCAGCAAAAGGGTTATATAAATAACATTTATTATGAAACAAAAGGCAAAAAACTATTATGTACATAGTTTAGTCCTATTCAGTGTCTACTCGGCGCTTCTTGGCTTGTCTCTTGTATTCATTAAATGGAGCATCTCTTGTCACTGTCCAGCAATAGTCTGCAAGCATTGATGGGCTCCATTTTCCCTGATAGC